ATTTTTTTCAAATCACATCATTAAAATCCACAACCCCTTCATTTGAGGATACCTATAAATATTGATGTTTGAAATACTATAAAGTAGAATTAATATAACTTATGTGTTCATAACTTTGACCTATTTGCTCATGTTGTATTTGTCCTTCCTCATAAGGTTTCAATGTCAACCACCTTGACATTGCACCGCGCTATGCTAGCATCCTCATGGGTATTTCCAACGGTGTGGGCACTTTGTCTGGTATGGTTTGCCCCCTTATAGTCGGTGCAATGACGAAGCATAAGGTGAGAGCTTATGTTATAAAATGCATGTCTGTTCTTATGATGTTGTCTGAGGGTGTGATTTTATTGTTACCATGGGATGTTGTGTGCATTTTAACTTGATGTTGCATTTCCTCATTGTGTATACAGTATCTAGACAGTGCGCCACCACCTGAGTTCAGTTATAAATAATGTTTCCTAATCGGCAGCAGAGGTGTCACTTCCTCAGAATGATTTCATTTTAAATATGTTATATGAATACCCCGAGATCTGTATCACTGAAGAGGGACCAATATAAATTTAATTTGTGCAATTAGAGTAGTTAAATCTACCCTCTAGGTAGGGCGTTGGAGCATTTTACTCACCAGGGTAAAATCTATCCAGGACTTTCATAGAACAAAAGACACACCATCTTTGATTGGTTTATTTGGTTGTGTTCAACCAAAAATAAAACACAAACTTTTTTCATGCTTATAATATCTCTTTTTTTGCTCTAATCCTGCTTTGATAGACGAGGGAGGAATGGCAGGGAGTGTTTCTTATCGCCTCGCTTGTTCATTATGCAGGTGTTATATTCTACGGTGAGTTTAGTTCCCTCTACTTTTCCAATGTACCTTTTACTCTTCCTTGACCAGAGCATTTGAGTGTTCAAGTTTGCAACCAACCATGCATTCTGTTTGACACAAATGAACACTTTATTTATTATGCATTGCTCCTCTCTCTGGGCTGCAGGACTCTTTGCATCTGGAGAGAAGCAATATTGGGCGGAGCCTGAAGAGCAGAGTGATGATAAATGTGGCATCCTGGATGAGGACGAGCTAGCAAACGAAACAGAGGAGCTGTATCGCACAAGTGGGGGGGGAGGCTACGGAGCCACCACCCAGGGAACGGATCCCAACGGAGGAGGAGGAGGCTGGGTCTCAGACTGGGACAAAACTGAGGAATATGTCCAACCAGAAGGAACCAATAATTACCTTTATGAAGGAGGCGTGGACAAGAAGCTCACATAAAACCAGCAGACCTTCTGCACATAGCCTTTAGCGAGGCAGAAACAGAACATCAGCAGCGTGGAGTTTCACGTGATGGCATGAAGAACTTTTGAAAGTGCGAATTTCAAATCGGGAGGGCACCATTTTCAGCAAGTCTGACTGTATTATCATAACTGAACTGAATTCAAAGAGTCTCCACAGGGGAGGTGAAGACATTAGTACATGTAAAATGTGTGTTTGTGTGTGCAATGTGTACCTTGTGTGGCAGACAATCTAAGTAAGAGTGTTTTAGGACTCATACCCCTCCCTGCAATATCTCTCTCGGAGGAGTGTTGAGTTTTAGGCCTTCTGTGGCTTTTGATGTTTAACACTGTAATAATTGTAGAAATGTCTATATTATCTGACAGGAGGTCATTTGTATGCCTCTTATTCATATTCACAAGTTGTTACGCGCACATTGGTCACCAGCGTACTTCTGTTGTTGGGTGAGAACCTACTGAGTTTCATTAATTGGTTTCTAAGAAATGTCTGCACCCCAATAAAGTATGCCCCTCCACTGAAGATAAAAAGGGAAATATCCAAAACCAGATCTATAAGGTTTTCGCACAACATAATGAAAGCTTTTTTCCCCTTAAAACAATGTCGTTAATGTGTACACTTTTAAGAAAAAGCATGTTACTTGTGCCAATACAATGAAAGATGTTGCTCTGTAGTATTGGTTTACTTCTCCACTGACAAAGTGTTTGAACACCTGCAAATACTTCTGTACACAGCTCTCTGTGAACTCTAAATAGCCCACACTGATATTTTTAGATGCAGCACTTTGGTTTCGTTGAACAAAACTGTTTTATGTACTAGGCCTCGAACCTGTCTGCCTGCTGACAAACCGGGAGATAAAAAAGCCTCGAATAGGATCAGTATTTCACAAAGTCGTTCAAGACACTTTTATTGTGTTTCTTTAAGACAGTTTTCTTTAAAACATCAGGATTTTGTTCAATATGCTTTACTTGTATTACATGCTTTATTGACATTTTTCAATTATGTTACAATTTATGCTCTAAGTTTATTTAATTATTTAGCATATTACATCAGAAGCCTGGGTGTTGCCAGTTGTGTAGCATGTCAAAATTAAAACGCTGGGCGAATAAAATAAGAATAATGGTACTGTCGAGCCGTTACGTAAATCTCCATTCATCTTGTTTAAAAGGAAGATTTTCATTACCCTTTACATTATGATATAGCGCAGCAACTACATACACTGTAAAACAAAAAGGCTCATAATGGACAACAAAACAATGACATTTCACTGTTCATTAAAGAACATTCATTTTTCTTTTGTTAGTAGATGTTGTAATGTATCTATCTAGCCCCTAAAAAAAGGTTCAATATTGTAAAATATCCATGTGTTAGATCATGAATGGTATCAATTTGGCTGATACTGTTTTTCCGATGAATTAAATATTAAATGTTTTTACTGTTTTTCATTTATTTCTCGTTAAATGTTCTGGATTATAAACTTAAACTGTATCTGTAAAAATCATGTACATGTGGAAAATATTGTATAATAAAAGCTAGAGGTGATCCTTCCTGTACAATAATTACAGTTACTATTAGTTTTATTCTAATGCAATTATTCAATTTTTATGTTTTTTTTTTTGCTATTAGGAGGTTCATAAACTATGTCGCTAAAAAAATAAACAGTTACATTTTTAATTAGGTTTTTTAATTTTTAATTTCAGCATCTGTTTTCCCTCGACCGAGCGACTTTTCCTTTGCTTCATGCATGATTCAGGCACTGATAATGCAGGTCCTTAAACAGTGGAAACAGTGGTTTCATGTTTCCAATAATGCTGTACTCATCTCCAGACGATCGATCGGTCTCTGAGCTAAAGTATAAGGGCATGGAAATGTAGAAGAAAAATAGATATTCATGGCACCAGAACAAGGGACTCACCAGTTTTGTTCAGCCCATAAGAAGCACTGAAACTCAGGGATTCATCCCCCTTCTCTGCTCCAATCTCTAAAATCCAGGGGATTATTTTAAATCCATCTGCCAGTGGGAGAAATATTAGTTACCTGGATGGTACTCCAGTTCTTCCCACAGGATTCACAGTAGAGTGCTGTCGGGATGTGTTGTTGTTTTTTACAGGCCAACCAGTTTGCAATCATCCATGTGTTGTTTGGATTATTGCTAGAATTGACCTTAAAAAAACCATAACGCATGCTTTCCCTAATAAAACGTATTCTGGTCCATGTTCCACAAAAAAAAAAAAGTATGCAAAAGCCTTTATACCCTAAACAGATGTTATTAATGTAGTACAAACACAGGGGGAAGTTTTAAGAGATGTGTGAAGTAGTGAGTTTGGTAGAACTTGACTTTATGACAGGGAAGTAAGTTATTATTGCATTGCAGTCTGCTTACCGGTTGAAGAAAGACAAAAACTGAAATGGAACTACACGGACTCGAGTGCTACAATATTTAATGGTTTTAAAATTGTAGTCACATTATTGGATTCTTCTTATTCTTCGTCTTCTTCTTCTGTTGTTTTAATGGCGCTCGTTTTCTCACACTCTCCTATCGAACGTTAGCTGTTGGACGTAAAACGTTAGGGTTTTTCGCAGTCTTTGATAATTGGCTTATTCAAGAGTTTGAATTCTTGGTAACTTTTCTACGTCCAATGCGACCATACATGCGCACCTCCATTCAGGAATATCTTCACTTTGTTGCAGCAAAACACGTCGACCCGTGCATCCCTCATGTAAACTGCTATGTTTACTGTCAAGCTAACTAACAACCAATGGCAAGTACTGACGGTTAAAAGCCATGGCTAAAGTCCGGCTAGCAAACAATGTACAACACTCTACAAGTAACAACATTATACTTCCTGCATTCAAAGGTAAGTAGTGCTTAAAAATAGCTAGCCACTTCCCTTTCAAACCAGATGATCTACCACCACCAGTGCATAGCATGTAGCAGGAAATGGGTGTTTGTTGCTAATGCCATATAAACTACCATGTAGCGTAGCCTGAGCTTTCATCACTTGTTTTAGGCCAGAGAACATTTAATGTATTTAGCATTTTTGTTTTAGAGGAGAGAGGCTTCTTTGTAGGTTGGAGGTTTTCGATTGTATCCCCAAACAGTTCAAATAAAGTAGTCTGCTCTTGTTTCTGAACTAACCACATTGGTTGTTGCCTTGAGCTGTCCCCCCTTTCTAAAGAGTGTCAAAGAAACATTTTGTCGACCTTTATTTTCTCCTCTGTATCACAAACATTGAGAGAGTACGCCTGGATTGAATGTGATCATTTATTATCTGTATGTGATGATGGAGTAAATGTATGACCACAAGTTTATTTCAGCACATAAAATACAACAGGAAGGATACTGAAGCTCAAGATACGCAGTGCAACTGATATATGATCAGCACACACACACACAATTAAATTCAAATGGATTGTACATGTGAATGCTAAAGCAGAACTTATACAATAATGCACTTTTTAGTAAAACACAAAAAATATTGTTTATGCAAATTCAATTGTTACTAAAAACAGGCAATTCAAGACAACATTCTCACTTATTGCACAAAGGAAACTATGTGGCTTTGCAAAGAAATATAAGCATACTGCATAGCTGAAATAGCTTGATAAAGCAATCCTTCTTATATTCATAATATAATCAACCTTATTTTCTCCCTGTCAATTATATAGGTAATCTCAAAACCTTATTTCAAAGCATTTCTATAACTTTAATATCTAAATTATTTTATTCAAATCAAAAGCTTTTTTTTACAGAATGCATGAGCCAAAGCCACCTTCATCTATTTACATTCCCCATACAGCACTGTAATGTTGGTTTAGTCAAATCATTTTAACATCATGACCAAGACATTACCTGACCTGAAAAGAAAAAGGTAAAAGGATGATTGAAGCTATGAGACCTATCTGTTCACTGTCTAGTCTTTTGTTTCTCTGCCTTGTCCTCCTTCTCCCTCACTATCTCATATTCTCAGTCTCTGTCCTTCTTCCCTCCTAACTCACCTCCACCTGTGCCCTCCATTCCCAGCGTTTGGTACTCCCCACCTTTCATTCCCTCTTTCTTCAGTGCCTCATATCCTCCTTCTGCTCCAACTTCCCCCTTTATTTTAACAGTGTGGTACTCCCCCCCTGTCATTCCCTCTTTATTCAGTGCTTCATACCCTCCCTCTGCTCCTTCTGCACCCTCAATTTTCACAGTGTGGTACACCCCCTCTTTCATTTCATCCTTATTCAGTGCCTCATATTCCTCCGTTCTCCTCTGTCCACCTGTTGCTCCTGCCTGGAGGAGGTCGTACTCGCCCTCCCTTTGGGCACCCTTCTGCAGCATCTCATAATTCTCATCTGCTGACCTCAGTGGCAAATCCTCGTAAATTGCTCCTAAAAAAATAAAATAAAAAAATAAGTGCCTTATGTGGTGCCTTAAGTGTGCATACAAAAAGTGAAAAAGAAGTAGTAGTTACTCACCTGTTCTCTTCCTAAAATATCTGAACAATACCACAGCTCCTAAAATACATCCCAGTCCGCCCATCACACAAAGTAAAATGATTAGGATTGGAGGTTGATCTGAAACTGAGACAGAACGTACAGAAATTGAAATCCCTCTGACTGACCCTTGGATGTGTTATATTAGTTGAATTCATCGTTAGCAGCATTTGTAGTGGTTTTATATGTTAATATTCAAAGCAACATGTTACAACTCGCAGAGCTTTGATAGGCCAAATAAGCTGTGTGCAAACTTAATTTGTATAGAATAAAAAATATATTTAAAGGTGTCGGCCAGTGACCCCAGTGACTTTGTATTGCACTGCCATAAAACAGGTTGGCTCACAATATTGGAATCAACAAATGGTCCAAACTGTCATGCTGACTTTGAATACCCATGATGGATCCACAAACACTGGATCCTGCAATACCCATAATGAAACTCTATTCCTTCATTTGTTAAAGCCTCTCTTTGTTGTAAATGCCATCAAACTCCACACCCCCTTTGTGTTAGTAGATGTGACTCTTACAATGTGTCCAACTTTGTTTATGAATTTAAACAACATGAAATTAGGCAGATTCAGAACATTTTCAAAGATTACTTTTACTTGATATATTCCATAAAATAAATTAGTAACCTGTAGTACTCAGTGTTTACAATTCCAAAGTGTTTTACATCAATTCCAGGCTGGCTGTTAGCAGTGTTTAATGAACAGTCATGGTGGCGGGCAACGAAAAAAGCGTATTTTCAGAACTAATCGTTTTTGGGTATCAATGTACATTGGCAAGAACAAAAACAGTAACTCACTGATGTTGACGACGTTACTGAGAGAAGATCTCCCGATGTGCCACACAGCTCTACATGCATAGGTACCGCCTGATTTCGGTGGGCTGGAACCAATAGCTGCCCATTGCCGATCTTCATACTTATACCAATGGTAGGGGCTTGAATTGGGGCAATGTGGACATGAACATGACATGCCAGAAGAGAGAAAAGCCCTCAGTAAAGGAGGCACTGAAAAAAATAAAAATGAGAAGACAGACTTAAAAAGCGGTCTATACAGGAAACAATTGCATGTGGGGAAACCAAATTCAATACAGCAGCCATCAGAAGCAGTCAAAGGGTGTTGGTTGGGTGAACGTACCTTGGACAAACACATCTTGATCCTCAGAGGTCACTTGGTATGGGGCGCCGGGAGGATTAATTGTGTACGTGAAGGTGGCCTGACACCTATATCTTCCCATTGCAGATTCTGTCACGTTAGAGATTGTGTGGGTAGGACTGGCGCCGCTCGAAAGGATACCATTGTCTTTGTAGAAAGCGGCGTGGCTGATTTGATCTGTACCCCAGGCCAGGCACTTCAGGGTCAGAGTCTCCCCAACTACAGCAGGCAGAGGATACATCTCCAGCGAGATATCCTTATCTGAAAGACGATGAAACATTGATTTTTGGCATACAAAAATGCTAAAAATACAATTTCTGAGGCTATTTCAATAATGCTAATAAAGGTGAAAGGGTTTGCTCAAGGTGAAAAACAAATAGAAAATGCTTTGTGAAACAATAAAAAGAAAAAGCCTACCTGAGGTCCTGAGTGTGATTTGGTTACTTCTGCGTTGAGTATCATTACTACACCAGTAAATGGTCTCTGGGACGCTCAGTCTATTAACCTGAAAGACCAAACTCACAGTGTTGTTTTTAATCTTCAACTTAATCTTCTTTGACTTCTCTCCTCTATAGACCCAGCACATCCACCCCTGAAGACCATCCTCATTGTCAAGCTGCAGAGTAACCGAATCTCCGCGCCGCACCACTGGATGGCCTGTCTCGATGGTGAGTGATGCAATGGGAACGTAATCTGAATGGTAAATCAATTAAAAATACTATTAGTGATAGGGCTTTCAAACTCCCCTTACATTTATGGGAGTTTGAACCGTAATACATGTTCTTGTGGTATATTTACCTAAGACTTTGATGTTGAAATTCTCACTCTTTTGCTGATTGCTCTCACATTGATAATTGCCTGAGTGTTTGGGGGCAGCCACTCCTATCTTCCAGGTGTCGCTTGTCGGTGGAAGTTGTTCTTCGTTGAAGTACCAAATCACATTGCTTTTACCTGAACATTTCAGATAAAACAAGTCTCCCTGGAAGATCTCCTTGAGTTCGGGGGACATAGTAACTAAGGAAGTAGGAGATAAAGGAAAATAAACACAGTCAAGTATTTATAGGCACAGTTTATGTAATCTAAAGAAATCACAAAGGGCATGACATTATCAACTGCTAAAAAAGATAGACGGAAGATGAAAGGATTTTTTTCAATATGTAAACACTGATTACCATGTGGCTTTAGCTGACATCTTCCCAGGAGCACAAACGCTGTAAAAAATCCAAAAGATGTTATTCCTTCATAAAAGCTAAGTCTCTCATGGCTAATATTCCACCATTTATATTGTCTCTTCCGTTTAGAGCAGGACATTTCAGACACTGATTCAAAATTAAAATAGTACATTTAGCAAAAATACTGACTTTTTATTCAAGCTTAAGTAAGTATCTATTTTGTTTTTTTCTAAATTGACGGCAGTGTTACTTTAAATAATTTAGTAGAGAAACTTGTAGTCTAAGTGGAAAAAAACGTTGAAGAAAAATTAGTGCGAACCAGTCCAAGTCCAAAACCGGAAAGGAAGAATTGTAGATCATTTCATTAAAAGATAAATTATTCACGACATGTTTGGAGTAAAATATTTGTTTTATATTTAAAAACATTTCGAAAACTTGTTTGAGTTCAATGTTTGGATACAGAAAATATAAATAGTATTTTTAAAGTGTTTGCCCAGTTATACACATTATAGTGTAATAATTGAAGACATGCAAACGTGTCCTTATACATATTTATGCTTTAGTTCAAAGTAATTCAGTAAAATAACATCTTGCATTAAATAATATTTGTTACACAGCTTCCTGAACACATTCAGAGAAGCTGTTAATGTAAAATAATTTTTATTTATTTGCAAAATCAAATCCACATCTAAATCGAAATGTATTAATTTTCAGAATTTGTTTCAATCTTTATTTGTTCTGTCGAGAGATGCTGAAAATGAGCTGTGCCAACGTCCTACTCCTCTCTCACATAAGTTCTCCGCTGATAGATCAGTGTTAGAGTACCTACCGCTGCGGATTCAGTTCCTTGCAAAAAGGCACCAAAGGTATTTTTATATAGGCAAAACCTCGGTGTATTTGTGTAATGTCAAATGCAATACATTAAACAAAATTCAGCTAAAAATAATAACATTTTACTTTGTATCAGCTATGTTGGAAATTACACTTATTGCTCTCATCACCAAGATTGACAACTCCACCCTAAGATTCATTGTTAAATCTTCATACAAAAAGAATGTGATATTTTGCACAATATAAATACATACAAGTCCTTATAAAACTAATATAATTCAATTTCAGCAAACAAAAACTTTACAATCCTGAAACTACTTTCAACTGTATCAACCTTTTTGTTAGATTCCTCTTACCTGCCAGGAGCAGCAGATGTGTAATTCCCCTCATGGGAACGGTCAGAGCAACACCTTCAAGAGAAACGACACAATGACTAAAACCCGGAGGTGACCAGACACTAAGTGGCTATGAGTCTCAATGAGGAAGTTGCTTTTGCGGCTGAGCTTAGCAGAGTTAAAAGAGGAAAAACTGTAACATAGATATTCTGCATTCTTATGGTTTAGAAATACTGCAACAACAACATTTTTTTTTTGTCATCTTCGCAGTAAATTGTGACTAAGGAAGGAAGAGAGGAACTTCAAAACCCCATGCAATACTAAAAAAGACCCTCAGTTCATTACCGAGAAATGCATTAGACAAAATAATAAGAAGAAGAAACTGAAAGTAGATGGTTAAAAAAGCCTGTAAAAGTGTACAGAGGGCATTTAATACTTTCTTTCTTGCACTTATGAATGCACATATATACAAATGCTTTACCTGCATAGCCTCATCTGCTCTATAGGAGAGATCAGACAGCATAAGGGTGAACAGAATATCAGAGAGGAGTAACTTAAAATGACAAATGTGGATTAAACAGACATTAAAGACAGTTAATGGTATATCTGAATCCTAGCTAAGCTAACAAGGCAAACAACAGTTTCAAACGAGACTAAAAGCAGGCCCACTTTTGGGGAAACAATAGTTAAACTCACTTAGTAAACAAGGCATGGTGTGGAGGCTCTGGAGGTTGCATGAAAGGCACAGACAGAATAAGTCAGAAGCAAGAGGAGCCGTTACGAGCTGCATCACAATTTAGGCCCTAAATCCTGTGAATAATAATAATATATTATAATAATTTGAAAGATGAAGTCCTTTTGTGTTAAAGGAGAGCCTTGTGATCCTTCCAAAGAGCTAGATCAAAGTAGTGGTGCATTCAGGTGCTAAGAATCAGAATCAAAACACTTGGTTAATCCCAGGGGGAAATTAAGTTTGGTGACAGGGTAGGTTGTTGTAGGATAAAATAAATAAATATTTATACAACGATAAGAAGTTAAAGAAGTAAAAGCCCTTGCCACTGGGCCACAGTGTCTTTGGCACAGCGTCTAAGCAAACTAGAATCGTCGTAAATATATGCGCAAAACTTTATCAGCAACACCTTGTGAATGACAACTTCAACTTTTAAATCTACATCTTGCAGTTCATATATTTGTCCAGTCCCTTGTGTGGTTCATTTCCAACTAAATGCAAATCACATAACACATCATATCTGTATGAGCTGCTTAGGACCCTCTTCTTGCACCTTGTAAACAGATGACTCACATGCAGGACCTATATGGGTAACTGAGGGCTGCAAACAATACGTTTTCTGCAGATTTGAGAGCATTTGGAGAAGTCTTCGTTGGCCTTAGCTCTTGCCAGTAATATTGCAGTGAAGAAATGACCCTCTGTTCATTTTGTTATTTCTTATTTAAAAACATTTCTGAGAAACTACCGCAGCTGTTTATCAGATGAAATGGCTGAGTCACTACAAAGATCGAAACCAAATGAGATGAGTTGAACTGTTAGTGGTCGCTGACTGATGTGAATCTGACAGACACTGAGGCTCCAAGGCTAAAAGAGGGAAACAAATATATGGTTAATATTTGTTAATAACAAATAGGTGACAACTATCAGTCTTGTTGATCAATGCCCAGATAAAGCTGTAAACCTCTGACTGAAATGGCAACATTAAAACATCTTTACAGGACATAGCACTTTGTCTTTGTTCATGGGCAGATCATTTCAGGACACTGTGGGTTTTAGATGTTAAATGAGATGGGCGCATTTCACAGCTTAGTTAGACACGTCTTCTTTCACACATTCTAGAAGAATACTGTATATCTCACGCACTCCTGTCATGCACCTCAAGTGGAGGAAATACTCCTATTATTTAATTGAGTTAAAGTACCAATAATGCAGTATTAAAAACCTTTAAAAAAGTATTGCGTTGAAGGTCGTACTCAAGTAAAATGAAAATCAAGTATTAGCATTAAAATATACTTCAAGTTCCAAAAGTAAAAGTACTTGTTATGCAGAATGGCCCCATTAAGCACCATATCTTTTTATTATTGTACTGTAGTTATTGATGAATTATGTGAGTGTGTTCATCACGTCAATTCTGCACTTGGTAGAAGTGGCGTTTATTTGAATTACTATGATAAGATAAGATAGAGCTTTATTGTCTCCCTTTGGAGAAATTTGTCTTGGACATCGAGATAATACACATAAAACATTCAGGTCAATCAGTCTTAGATACAGAACAGAGATCACATATCACATGGCAAAGAAACATACAGGTACAGCACTTTCCCTATTGCACACACATAATCAAATTACACTTTCCCCTACTGTATTCATACATAATCAAATATTGCACTTTCCCCTACTGTATTCATACACAAATCAATATTGCACCTATGCATAGTGTCCATACCTATTTACAAATAATGCACTTCCCCTATTTAACCTTCTCGATTGCACAAACTACACTGTAAACATTGCACCTCCCAACAACTCCTAACACAGCATAATCACAATTGTTTCTGACTGTTCAGCAGCTTGATTGACAGCGGAACAAAGGAAAACTTATACCTGTTCAATCTACAGTTTGGTAATCTATACCTTCTGCCCTCAAGGGGGCAGCAACTCAAACTCTCTACAGGATGTGTTTGGGGTCGCATGTGATTTTACGGCCTTGCTTTCTCACCATCTCCTCAAACATGTCCTGAAGAGAGGATGGTGGAGACATGCCAATTCTTTTTCCAGCCCTTTTTATCAAGCTCTGGAGTTGTGATTTAGATTTAACTGACAAGTTACCAAACCATGTTGTGATGCCATAACGAATAATAGACTCAATTGCTGCCCTGTAGAACATTAACATGACACATTTATCCACTCCATGAACCCTGAGCCTACGCAGAAAATGCAGGCGCTGGCTTATCTTTGAGCATACCTGATCCACATAACTGAGCATAAAAATAAATCCCCAAATATTTAAAACGTGAAACCTGCTCAACTCCCTCCCTGTTGATAAGGACGGGGCTTTGATCACCTACTGACTTGGGGTCAAAGATCATTTCCTTTGTTTTTTTAACATTTAACACCAGGTTGTGCGCCTCACACCACTTCATGACCTCTTCAATCTCAAGTTTATAAATAGAATTATAAAACGGACAAGTCAAATCAAGCAATCTGATTTGTTCTTAGCCGTGATATACTGAGCGTATACCACGGGTAGAATTGTAAGTTACTTTTCACAACAAGTCAGTATCCCTCCGCGTCTGAGAAAAACAGTATACCGTTGGGCTGAAAAGCAAACAGTTTGCTTTTCATACTGGAACAAGAAAGCAGCGGAGAAGTAACGGGGCAGAAACCCTCCTTTTTACGCAGCGATCCAGACATAGACATCAAACGGCAAAACATATTCAGTGTGCAGTTCCTTTGGCATTAGGGCAGGGATATCTAGATACTTTCCAAGGTTTGACATCATGAATTGTGCTACTTTTAAAGCAAGCAACGATGTTTTCAAATCTGTAATCAAAGAGGTCCTCAAAAACACTATCGACCAATTAGATTGCTTGATTTGACTTGTCAGTTTTATAAATATATTTACATTTCTTCCGTTACGAAACAAACTTACAAAGCATAAGATGGAAACATTT